CGTCCTGGTCTGCCGGCGGATCGGTCCGGTTTGGGGACGTGAGTGCGGGCGGATGCCCCAGTCGCCCCGCAGGTCCGTGTCCGGGGCTCCCAGGGGGATCGGGTCTCGGGTGACTGCTGGCACTCACACCCACAACCCGCTCTCGGATGGCGCTGTACCATCCTGCCTGCAATATGCAAATTAGCCGCCATCTTTTTTGGCTGCTAACTGCCATCTTAATTGGCAGTTAATTTGCCTATCTCGCTGATTAGCCAAGGAAAAGGGTATCAGTCATACGCCAATTACCATTTTTCTCTTTTATTAGTTTAGATACTTCCCACATTTGCCCTGACTGTTTGGCTCAGTGGATAGAAGAGGAAGCCTGCAGACTGAATGGTCCCAGATTCGATTCTGATCAAGTGCACATGTCCAGGTTGCTGGCTTGATCCCCAGTAGGGGGCGTGCAGGAGGCAGCCAATCCATGGTTCTCTCTCAACCTTAATGTTTCTATCTCTCACCCTCTCTGTTCCCCCCTAAAATCAATAAAATTATATATTTTAAAAACACACACAAAACTTCCCACATTCACTACACTCACACGGCTTTTCTCGAGTGTGACATCACTGGTGTTCAATGAGGAGAGAGGTTGTCACGAAGGACTTCCCACAAACACTACACACATAAGGCCTTTCACCAGTGTGACCTTTGCAGTGTTTACTGAGCTGAGACCTTTGTGTGAATGACTTTTGACAATAACTATACTCATATGGCTTTTCTTCACTGTGAGTTCTTTGATGTTGAATGAGTCTATGTTTGTAACTAAAGCATTTTCCACAGTCACAACATTCATTCGGTTTTTCTCCGGTGTGGTGAACTATCTGGTGAAGAACGAGGCCACAAGTATTGCTATAGGAATTCCCACATTCACCAGTCATAAGGCTTTTTTCCCAGAATGAACGTGATGGTGATAACTAAGGCTGCTGCGTAGTCGAAAGCATTTCCCACAAACACTGCACTCAAAAGGCTTTTCTCCAGTGTGACATCGCTGGTGATCAATGAGGATAGATTTACGGCTGAAGGACTTCCCACAATCAGTACACTGATATGGCTTTTCTCCAGTGTGAGCTTTCATATGTTGGAGGAGGTTACAGTTTTGTCCAAAGGTTTTCCCACATTCACTGCACTTATAAGGCTTTTCTCCAGTGTGAACTCTCTGGTGAATACGGAGGTTAGCTTTGCGTCTAAAACACTTCCCACATTCACTACACTCATAAGGCTTTTCTCCAGTGTGAATTTTCTGATGTTCCATGAGCTTAGACCTATGGCTGAAGAACATTCCACAATCACTACATTCATATGGCTTTTCTCCAGTGTGAATTTTCTGATGTTGAACGAGTCCACTGTTATAGCTAAAGCATTTCCCACAATCACTACACTCATATGGCTTTTCTCCAGTGTGAATTCTTTGATGTCGAGTGAAGGCAGACCTTCTGCTGAAAGATGTCCCACAAACACTACACTCATAAGGCTTTTCCCCAGTGTGACCTCGGTGGTGTTCAATGAGTGTTGAGCTCTGGCTGAAGGACTTTCCACAATAGCTGTACTCATATGGCTTTTCTCCAGTGTGAATCCTCTCATGTTGAATGAGTCCATTTTGATAGCGAAAGCATCTCCCACAATCACTACACTCATACGGCTTGTCTCCAGTGTGAACTCTCTCGTGGTTATGGAGGTAATCTTTGCGTCTAAAAACCTTCCCACATTCACGACACTCATAAGGCCTTTCACCTGTGTGACCTCTGTGGTGTTCAATGAGCTTAGACCTATGGCTGAAGGACATCCCACAATCACTACACTCATATGACTTTTCTCCAGTGTGTACTCTCTTGTACTGAATGAAGCTAGAGCTTTGGCTAAAGGATTTCGGACAATCACCACACTCATAAGGCTTCTGTCCAGTGTGAAGTCTCCTATGACGAATGAGGTTAAACTTTTGGCGAAAGGCCTTCCCACATTTGCGACACTCAAAACGCCCTTTTCCAGGGCAGTCGCTCTGCTGTTGAACAAGGTTCTGGTTGTGGAAGATGGCCGTTTTACACTCACCCCACTCGTGATGATGTTTTCCACTAAGAACAGCCTGCCCACTCTCAGGACCACTGTGTGACTGCTCAGTGTGAAGAGTGCCCTGGTGCTGAAGAAGGCCTGAGATGGCTGGGAAATCCTCCTCCACCTCCCTATACGTGAAAGGCTTCTGTGATGCATAGAAGCTGCACCTGGTCAGCAACGAGGCCCAGTCCAGAGCTTCCTTCCAGGGCTTCTCTCTACTGGCTTCCCTCTGTTGCTGGTGAGGGTTCGCACTGAAACAGAAGTCTCTCACATATGCGTCACTGAAGAAGGCTTTGTGCTCAAAGTCTGCTGCCTGTGACTCAGTCAGGTGCAGAATAGCTTTTAAGACTGAGACACACCGGTCACAAAGATGGGTCTTCTGGGTTGGTAGAGCTATCTTAGAAGCCTTGACCAGTGACTCTGCTGTTACAGATACACTCTGCTTGGAAGAGGTCTCCTCATCTTCACTTTTATGCCAACAACCTGAAAGCAGAGAAATGCTGAGGTAATGGTGTTGGCTGTGGTGGGAGAAGCAAGTCCCATTACTAAGGTTTGTCAGACTCCATATGTTGGTTTCATGGGATCTTGGTTTTTGGTTTCATGGAATCGTCTGAAAATAGAGCCCTGGAGGCAGGTTGAATAATGTGCTGCTGTGCAGTACTGGGCTTCTGAAGATCACAAAATAGGGGAGACCTCCCCAGGAAAAGGACACAGAGATGGCAGGCAACCACATGGAATAGAAACAGCATCTCCAACTAATTCTTCTGCTGAAAGCATTCAGAGGGGCTTGTCTACGGGTGGAATGTGCAAGCTGTCCAGAAGGTTGGTTATGTTTTACCCCCAGTAAAATTCAGTAAGTGAGGAGCTGGTGTCTATGCACTTGTTAAGGACACATGCACACCTCATAACATATGCACAGGTCAATGCTGGAACATACGCCAGAGGAACCAGTGCAGAGGAACAGCTGATGCCGGGAGGCCACAAAGGGGAAAGTAGCCAGGAGCTGAGAAGTCACCAATGAAATGACAAGTTATCAAAGGATCAAATATGGGAAAGAAAAAATGGAAATGTGCTGTGAGCAGGGGCACCTGCACCACAACACTATCGGACACAAGCAGAATCCGGGCATGATCGGAACACAGCCCTTAGGTCATGCTCTTGCCCAGCTGCCACTCACCAGGGCCAGCCTTCTACCAAGACCATCTTTCTATGTACAGCCTGTGATAGAAGCAGGGTTCTCCCTGCACCTTCAATGAAACAACTACTCAGAACCTGAATGATCCAAATCTTAATGACAGACAACACACGTAAGCAGCCACTACTGGCCCAGAGCCAACTTGACACACGATAGTGTTCAGGGAAGACAATATTACAAACAATTGAGGTAGATCTGAGAAGTACAGTCCATGGTTCAGATAAAGAATGATCATGACCTGGCACAGGAAGTCACAAAGGATTGTTAGCTAATGGAAGGAGCCAGAACCAGAAGCCATGAATCTGGGCAGAGTCACCCTTCCAGGCAGAGGGTGAAGACGGGGCATGTATTGGGCTGTCTGAGCCGAGGCCCACTCTCCGAACTTTTTGAGGCAACAGATGTAAGGGATGCTCAGAGTGTTCCCGGCAGAGGGAACTCACCAAACAACTCAACACAAGCAGCCACAGCACGTATGACAACAAAGTGCAGAAATTAGCAGAGCCCATGGTATGGCTGAGGGACTAAGCTACTTCAGGAGGAAAAACGAAAAGGGAGGCCATGACCTAGGACATGAGTAGTGATGTGAAGGTCTTACCAACAGATGCTACAAGTGCAAAGTTCTCCAGCATCACCTTGCAGTACAGCAGTCTCTGAGCCTCATCAAGGAGCCCCCACTCCTCCTGGGAGAAGGCAATGGCCACGTCTTCAAAGTCCATATCCTGTCATAATGGCGACAATTCAGTTCATGACCAGCTTCACTCCTAGGATTTTACATTCCTCATACCACCCAGCCTCCACATCCATCTGCTCCCTCCTCCCACATCAATGACACCAAGCCCTGCTATCATTGGAGTCACTCACTTCTATATTCCCATTGATACTGTGTCTTCCCACAGTAACAGGCAGAGGGGCAGAGAGATGATAACAGCTCTGTGCTTGGCATGTAAGCCACCCTGCCCCTTGTTAACACAGTGGGTGTCACAAACACACAGAGAAGTTGGCCACAGAGAGTGTGTGAGTGATCACTCAAGTTGTCAGGCAATACCCGTGAGCCCAGTGTCCCTCCAATACATAAAAACCATGGCATCACCCTTCACCCTGGCGACCCAAATCCCTTCCCTTTACACTACCCTCCGCACATAATTATGTGACTCACACCTCTCTCTCAGCTACGTTCCCAGAAGCACAGCTTTAAAGGGAAGTCAAACATGCCCCGACAGAGACGATTTTTCCATGATTCGCTTCTTTCCCAGGATTATTACTTTACCACCTCCCTAATCTAGCCCCTGCTTCTCCTTCTCCCTTCCCTATGCCAGGGGAGATTTCCAAGCCTGGGTTGCACTGAGGTCTGCTATCTCACTGAGGCCCCACTGATCATTGTATCTGCCCTCAACAAAAGGCAGGAAGGGACATAAATGACGTCAAAGCTCTGGGCCGGGCATGTAGGACTACAACACCCCCTCCTTCCAGGCAATTGCTCGGGGGAGCCACATCACGTTCCCACCAGATACAACAGACATGGGCTCGCCCTTCATTCACTCTCATGTCAATGCCAGGACCCTGTGGCCATGAGTTCACACGCCCCCTCCACGTGCACATCACTCTCCCGACCACACCTCTCCCGCCTGCACCCCCACAGCCTGGCCACCTCCTGTGCGGCACCACATCATCTTCTTGGCCTCTCTCTTCATTGCTCAGCAGATGGGGTCCAGAGAATGTTTGGAAAATTCTAAGAGGATCAAGTACTACCCGGGCTCTGATGGTCCACACTCACAGACGCAGCCGGAGTCCTGCTCCAAAGGCCTCCCTCCTGACGGTTCCTTGTTCCCACGTCACCTGCTGAGAACCACATCAGCTCTCAGGTGCCCACAGCCTCCCCCACTGGTGCTGCACCTCATTCACAGTCACAGCCTTCCCTCTCCTCACCCAACACTAGGCCCAGCCCCAGTGGCCCTCTAGCCTGTACCCAGTGAGTCTTCCAGATGATCACATGTGCCCCTAAGGTAACAGCCAACCTGACAGCCACACCCCAGCCATACCAAGGGTCACACCAATGTTCTGGAGAGCCTTGAAAGCAGTGAATACGCACCAGCCCTCCTCTCATCTTGTGTGAGTTACTCTTCCACTCTCATCTGTTCCACATCCCTCGTCCCTTGGAGGCCTTGTCCACTTGCCAAGCCAGTCTCTCCCTCACCCTCCACATGACCACTTCTGTCTGTCACTTATATTGTGACACCCACTTCCCACAACCAGGGTTCCAACAGGAACCCGGTCCTCAGGCCCACACTCCTCATCCTGGGCTATTACCATTAACATTCCGACCAGGATTCCCCACATCATAGTGAACTGCAGCTCCTCCCGGGTCCATAAACTCTCCACTAACTTTTGGAGAAGTCTCCATCCTGAACACCTCCTCAGAATTCCAGACACCTATGAACTCTCTCTCAAAAATCTCATACCCTCACAGGCCAAAAATAAAACTCCCGATATCCCCAATGAATACTGCTCTTCCTTCAGTGTGTTTCGCCATCTAAATTGAGGTGCTTCACTTCCTCCAAACCTTCATGTCATCCCTGGCTCCTACCTCTATGTCAATCTTAAAATTAGAAAATGCTGCCCTAGCTGGTTTGGTTCAGTGGATAGAGCGTCGGCCTGCAAACTGAAAGGTCCCAGGTTTGATTCCAATCAAGGGCATATATCTGGGTTGCGGGCTCGCTTGAGTGCAGGAGGCAGCCAATCAATGATTCTCTCTCATCATTGATGTTTCTATCTCTCTTTCTCCCTCTCCCTTCCTCGCTAAAATCAATAAAAAATATTAACAATAAGAAAATGCAGAAGGCACCCTGGCCGGTTTCCTCAGTTGGGCGGAGCATCGGGCCCCATACACCAAGGTTGGGGGTTCAATCTCACATCAGGGCACATACAAGAATCAATCTGTGAATGGATAAATAGAACAAATCAATGTCTGTCTGTCTGTCCCTATCTCCCTAAAATAAATAAAGTTAAAAAAAAAAAGTCCTGGCATCTTCACCCAAAACCCTAACTTATAATCAAAATGCTTCTCTCACCTCCATGGCCACCACCCTGGCCCAGACACCATCACAATTACTCCGACTATTGCAGCAGCCTCCTCCCTGTTCATTCTAAGCTGCAGCCACATGGATTCTCACGAGACCTGGGTCAGATCACCTGCCTCCACTGCTCCAGGCACCCATCACCGGCAGAACAGACACCCAACTTGTTACAAACCTGCTCTAGACCTGACTCCTCTCCCACTGCCCCCAGTTCCCATGGGAAGAAAGGACACTTGCAGGTTCCAGAACTTGCTCAGTGTCCCCTCTAAGCCATTGCACAATCTGGCCCCTGTGCCTGGGAGGACCTCTCACATCTCATTCCACTCGTTGTCAAAAACAGGGACCACATCCTATAACCCTAGACCTCGACTTAGGATTCTGGCCTTGGTGTCTGTTCAAGATCCCCAGGCCTATGAGCTGGAAGAGGGGCTGGACAGCCCCAGGACCCCACGACCTCAGAGGCCACAGGAATGTGAGGCCCTGAAATCAGCTCCACAGCCCAGTCCCCTCAGCGGCTCTGCACCCGCAGGAACCTATGGGAACTAAAGGGCTGTTGAGGGCCTGGCACCCACCCCAGGACCCAGGGGCTCAGGCTGCTCAGGGCCGTGGCCCAACCCCAGGGCCAAGTGTTGCCCGCATCCCTCGGGGCTCAGTCTAGTGCGCACCTGCCAGTGACCTCATCACCTACAGGGTCCTCCTTCCTGCCCCTCCTGCTGGCCTCTCCCTTCTAGTCTGTTCTTCCTCTGGGAAGTTTTGGGGAAACTTGAGAATCCCTGCCTCACACAGTGTCCCTCTTTGTTCACATCCATCCATGGCCCAGCGCCGTGAGAATAAAAGTAAAACTCCTCACGCACACCTCTGCCTCACTTTCTCTGTTGCCTTTAGAAACAAAACAGGGCCCAGGTTTCCCGAATCTTCCAGCTGAACAGCCCCCGCATGTGTTTACCCGGTGGCCCCTCACCCTCTCCCACCCCCGTCACACGGGCATCACCCAGTAAAGCCTGCCGGTCCTGAGGTGGGGCCTGGGCTGCAGGGTTGGGTGGGGGAGGCGGGGACGTGCCTCACCTCAGCCTGGCGCCTTGGCGCCGCCACAGCCATCGAACTCTGTGGGCAGAGCCCCGTCTGTGAGGCTGGAAGGCCTGCACCCCAACAGTAGCGGCTCAGCAAGTCTCGGACCCGCCTCAGCATGGCAGGGACGACCCTCTGGCGCTTCCCCATCACGGCCTGTTGCTTTGGAGCCTCTGACGTGGTGAAGCACCCTGAAAGGCAAATATGAAGCTTCTGAGGGGGGCACGGGAAGTGACTTCCCCAAAATTGGGCGCATTCCCCTCTGGGTAATGTAGTTTTCTCAGTAGGGGACGTGCAGGACGCAGCCAATGGTTCTCTCATCATTAATGTTTCTCTCCCTCTCCCTTCCTCTAAACAAAACAAAACAAAACAAAAAACAAATAAAATTAAATTAAAAAATAAAATAAGTAAATAAAATAAAGTGGGAAATGGGCACTGAAGGCGCATGGGTTTCCCAGGGTGTCGGGAAGGATCAGAAGCAGTGCCTGTGAGGGTGCGACCAGGCAGTGGCACAGGGTGGGCAATCCTCGAACCCCGACCGGCCGGAGGGGAGCCGCCTCCCTGAGCCCCTGGGTGGCCAGGGGAGACCCCAGAAAGCCCTCCCTTAGGAATGACGGGGCACCTGATGTTTACTGTTTTAGACCGATAGGCCCTTAATGTGAAGAGCGCTGCGGGTCAGCTTGATTCCGTTTTTGAGGGAACCTGGTCAATTCTTTCCGCCCGGGGAGATGGGGTTCAAGTCAGCGGAGCCACGTGGGGCCTGAGTTCGAATCTCGGGGGAGCGCGTTGGGGGGCGGCGGGAGGGACGCCCCCTGCCCGGGGTGTGGGCTTTACAGAGCAAACCCGTCGAGACTGAGTCTCCACCTCAGGACCCGGACCTCGTGCTCCCCCTTTTCGC